TAATTTTTTAATACAATAAATATGTTTTTTTCATATTTTTAAGAAAAAATTTATAACGTTTTAGTTCCGTTACTCAAAAAAAGAAGCGTTACTCATTACTTCTAATGAAGGTAACGAATGGCGTTCCTTTTCTTAAAAAACTTTACAGCACTAAATAAATCATTTCCTTGACAATTTTTTTGCCATCCATACCATAGATTCAGTCGTAGAAAATTTTTCTTTTTTGGGTCCAAGAATTTGGCAAAACCGTCAATATCTGTATTTAATCATTTCGTAAATGTGTTATTTCAAATTTATTTTTCAATTACACAATGATCACATTCATCGTTATATTAAAATTATCTCTGAAAGATATTTCTTAGGCCTTCATAACTTATTTGTTTATCCAAAATATGCTAATCATTCCCACCTTATTTAATCTATATTATTTAAATAGATAAAATATTTGATAGATTTTATCCTAAATAATTACAATGATTTATCAAATATTTATTAAGAGACTAATAATTAAAATCAGAGTTTTGAACCGCGAAACCAGAACAAACTGTTATAATTTTTTGAACCATAATCAAACCTTTAAAAAGAAATATATAAAGAGCGGACCAAAATAAATATTTTGAACCGGGTTAAACCAGTTCATAACTGTTTTTAAAAATATTTAATTTTAATTTTGCTTAGAGGCAATTTAAATTCATGATATTCTTTCAATTAAAATTTTTATACAATTAAATCGCCATTATCTACATATCATTCAATACCAAATTTGTTTTTACTGAATCCCGGAAAAAACTCCCAGGAAAATATATCCCGGGAAAAAAACCTCTATTTTTCATATTTATAGAATTTACATAAGACCTTTATAGGTATATTATATTTGGATTATTATAATGTATAGACAAATTAGTATTTAAAAAAAATATATTATAAAAATATAATATTGAGCTAAATTTCTCTAGGTTCTAATTCATTATTTAAAGATTTCATATACCCTCCATAAAAAATGCTAGATAAAATGCTGAAGTTCAAATTGGTACTGGGAAAAAAATACTCCAGTAAAGAAATTTATGTATTCTTATTTTCGTGAGGATTATTTGCTATAGTATTAAATACAATATTCATCTTTAATTACGATATTAAGTAGACTAAATTTGACAAAATTTTGTAATAAAATATATTTATTTTATTGGTAAATCATGATTATGTATATACATATTTAATAATTTAGATTTTTTTATAATTACGCTACCTGACTGTCGGTAACTATGGCTTGGATGTCTTTATATTTGTTAAGAGCTTATCTGCATCCTGCTTATATGGCGAGTAGCTCCTTCTGATTGATATCCGGGTTTGCTAGATCCGGGATACCGAGGTCGTGCTTGATTATCCTCTGCTATTCCGATGTGTGTAAGGGAGGCGTCTACTTGGATAATGGCATTCACCGCGAACACAAAGGGAAAAGGTTTCATCAAGGCTGCGATGGACACGACTGCCTTGGGGTAGGCCTTTAGGTAGTCGATGGGTGGTGTCTTTTCCTCGCACAGCATCGTGACATAGTATGGAGCAAATACTTTCGAACGCCCGGTATTAGAGTAAATATAATGATTTAGAATACCTAGCACTTCCAACGCAATGTTCCTTTCTATATCATGGATTGGAGGATCAGCTGGCAGAATCTGAGTATGGCGCGATTTTCTTTGTCGACCGCTGCCATTTTTATCTCGAAGTCGATATCTAATACTAAATATGTGATCTTCTCCGGGGATGACTACTGATTCGTCGTTTATCACCAAACCCCAACGGGGGCCATATCGAGGAATACTATGTTGCTTTCCTTGTGGAATATGATATTGTCCAGATAAACTGAATAGTTTGCTTTTATGGAGAGAAGGCCGCTCCCATCGGCAAAGTTTTATATCTGAATTGAACTTGGCCGCGGCGGTAGCAAAGTCGAAGCTCCTGCTCTGCGCCAGGGGAATTGAATAGAAGGTCTACTTTAGATCGATCTTGGTGGCCTTTGATGCCGTGGCTAGAAGCAGCGCTATCATGGGAATAGTCCTTAATCTGAATGGGTATCTGATACAATTTCTAGAAACGATATCACCCGGGGTGCCGTCCTGCTTGGGGATAAGGAATAACGGCGAACAGAATGGGGTGTCTATCCTTTCAATAAAACCTCCGTCAACCAGCTGGGATATAATGGGCATGTACTTCACCGCCAATCTGACGAATCGATTACGGAAGAAACCTCCATTATCGTTTATATCCTGGTTGTCGAATTTCGGGCAAAACCCCTCAGTTCTCCTGGTAAAGGGCGACTGATCCGGGTGGGGTTTAAGTGTTGATGCCGCTAGTCCTAAGGTTGCCCCAAGGTTGATTTATACGCTATCCGTCGTATCCACATCCATGAGCCTAAGCAGTCTGTGGATCAGCCAGATCGAGTTGCTATCCACCGTTGGCGCAGACGGTGGCAGAATGGCAGCTGCGTAAAGGGTAATGCGATCCGCGAAGTTGTTCCCCATAATGATCGGTTCCCCGTTATGATCGAACTGTTCTGCGACTGACAGGTCATGAATGGTGTCATCACTTGCTGTGGATACTTCGTCTTCTCCATCGTCTGCTCCATCCTTACTTCCTCCCTCGCCGGCGAAAACTTTTGGCGCCTCACATCTTTAACGTTGAGAAAGTGCTTCACTATTCTGATTAGCTTCTTTTTATTGACTTCCGCTAGGATATTGAGAGTCCGTACTTCTCTTCAGATAGTAGGAATTCAGTGGTGAGGTCTACTAACAGGGAGGAGGGGGGTTTTAGCTGGGATTTCTATCTTATCTAGCTTTCCTTCAATAGATGGAGGTAGCGTAGGTTTAGTTTCTATATCATCGATCTTGTCGAAAAACCCTGTCATTCTTTTAATCATATTATCTACTTTGTGATTTAGATTGGTTACTTTATCGTCCATATTCTTTTTATTGTTTAAGGTGGCCGCCTTCAAATCCGCCATTTCGGCTATGATTTGGCTGTCTTTTTCGGACATGGAGTTCGATTTATAGTGAGACGTCTTAAGAATTAAATTGGATTAGCTGTAGAATTACTCTCCGTGCTTGGCCTTACATGCGATAGTCGGGGTGATCGTACACAATTTTACAAACAATTTAATTTCGAAAAATATAATTGTGTATGCCTATTTATAGGGCTACGCAAAATATAATAAAATATTTCTCTCATAATTTAAAATTTTTGTCTGGGAAGTTACAAATCGGGTGATAATTATAAATAACTAGTAGATAGCCCGTCAAAAATGACGGGGTATGAGAATTTTTTCCCTACTTTTATGATAGTTTTTACCTAATATTTAAAAATAATATCCAATTTTTACCCCTTCAGGTCAGGTTCAATCCATTAAAACTAAGTGTAAATACTATGGTTTGAGTCAAAATATATTCAAAGTTTTTACTTAATAATATCAATATCATTTGTTAAATATTACTGATCACCTATGCCCAATATTTAATATTAAAAAAAATTCCCAAGCAAGGTACGCCATAATAATTTTGCAAAATTTTTCCAAGCCTAATGAAAGATCATAAAATTTTGTTAGTTGAGAACTGAAAAAAAATATTTTAAAAATCATAATGAATATATAAATACATTCAAAATCAGATTTTCATGGGCCTTGATTTTTTGATCAGACTCAGGCCTGCAAAAAAATTTCTTTTAGGCCACTGTCTGACCCATAGTTAATAGTAAAAAAATTCCCAAGCGTCTAAGCTGATGATAATTTTGAATAATTTTCCCCAAGTCCAGCCCAAAATAATTTATAAAAATATTTTCCAAGATATTATCAACTCCCCAAGGATTAAACCACCAAGTGATCTTTTCTGGGATTCGAACCCAAAGTCATCAGATTTGTGCCGATTAGTCTACAGACGCTTTTCAAAATTCACGATTTTTTAAATATTTTGACACGGTATCTATATATATTATAGATATAGATTATAGATAGATAGATATTATCATCTCCCCAAAGATGAAACCACCAAGTTAAATTAAGAAAAAAAAATAATAAAAAAAACATTGCTGGGATTCGAGCCTAAGTCCAGATTTGTAAGCGACGCTCTTGCCGATTGGGCCACAGCCAATTTTCAAAATTAACGATTTTTTAAATATATATTATAAATCGCGAAAGTGTGACTGTCACAATGTGACAAGGCTTTTATATATATTATAGATATTTTTAAGATTTTGGACGCAGCCTTAGAACAATTCTAAAAAAATATTTATATTTTAGAATTTTACTAAGAATATTTTTTTAAAAATATATATTAGAGATCTGTTATGCCTGGCCCGTTTCGACATTTTAATATTTTTGAACAAATTAACCTGTCCAAAAATTTGTACGAATTGCTAAGCCCGGCATATTAAATTTTGGTAACTTATTAAAAATAAAGTTTTAATTGTTCGAAATGATGCTTTAATTAGGTTTCATTTGTTTGCCACCCATTTAGAAGATTGTTATAAAAAGTAGTCTTGTTTGATGATAGAACCTTCTGGTACATCTTAAAACAAAATTTAGTGTTATTTTTTTTTATCGAGATTAAAATATTTTGCAAATTTAGGAAAAGGATATATTATCTTTATTTGCCAGGGAAATAAATTACTTTGTCCATATGATCTGTACAAGCATTATATTCAGTATTAATCTCTATTACCAACATTTTAAATTTATAATCATTTTGGAAACTAGATTTACAATTCATATTTTTAAATATAGATATCAAAATTAAATTAAATAAAAAGATTATGATCCTAGAATTAATTATAAATATATTTTAATAATTTTTATATGTATTATATAAAATTGTAAGTAGCGAAGTATAAATAAGTAACGATACACCGCTATATCTATTTTAAAAAATTTGCGCTAAAACTATTATTGAAAAAAGTACCACGCCAGTATCCAAAAAACGAATATTCTAAATATTTACGAATATTTTTTTGTTAAGATATCCCAAACTGCTAAAAAAATATGGGGCGAAAATTCAAATGATGCGGTGAACAATGAAAATATAGTGAATGAGAGGTTAGGTATGAAATCTATGCATAAGAGTAGACTTTATCAAGAAGGACATCTTAAACGATCTGAGGAGAATAATAAAATTAGGGGTGGTATATTTTTGGGGACTTCACATTGGAATTCAGCAGGACCTTGGAATTCTCAGCTCAAGTCATTAGATAATACAAACAGAGTTATAGGTATATATTGCATTTTTTAAATAAATCAAGGAAGTATTTTGTTTTGTAAGACAGATAATTTTTCATTTACTATATTTTAGATGGAGAAAATTTATCAACTTATATGATAAATGGTAGTTTTGATCCCAAATCACAAAATGCTGAAAATAGTGGCTTAGATATCAGTATGGTTGAGTATGTACTTGGTAACGTTGCGGCTAATCAAGTGCTTTAATATTTATTTATTTATTTTCATATATAAAAACTATAGGATTTAGCGCTTTCTTCTAGGCAATCACCCTTTGAAAAAATTTCTAATGGTATAGTAAATGTAAGCTCCTATTCGGGAAATTTACACAACCACGATAGATCTTTTAGGTTAGTATATTTTATTTAATAATTATGAATACATATTTCTTTTCTGATATATTGATGCAAGTCTAATTGCAATTAGTGAAGGTTACGGTCCGGGTTTTCCTCCAAATGGACATAACCGGTGTTCTCGGAAAAGAACGGTCCAGGACAGGACTTTATAGTCCGATTATATAAAAAATTTGCGGATGCTCGACTGCTTTTAATTAATAGTCACTTAATTTATTTCCAAGGTTATCATTTTATTAAATATACAAAATTATAAATTTACAAATGCTAATATCATATTGATAAGACATTTTAAATATTTATACAAATTATGAATTCAACTTACGTATTCATGACCACTTTTAACCGAAACCAAACACTGGTTCATCAATTGATCCAGACACTGTAGCTTTTAAGTATTTATCAATAATAATTATAGCGTTGATACGTTTTATTTCGAAATGCATGATAATGGTTCACTCAAGGATTGCTGTTAACAATAGCTGATTTTTTTATATTCGTTTATTTAATATCACATGCCTTATTATATTTGATTATTTATAAAAATGATTAAATTTTATTAAAACCAATTTTTAATGTCTTAACCCTAGCCATATTTCAAATCTTTAATTAACCCCAACCCATATCTCTCTAGCCTTTAGTTTTAATCTTTATTTCATTAAATTAAAAAAATCTCTTTTAGTTGAGATTTTAAAATTATTTCTAACAAAGAATATTTTTAAATACCGATTTAAAAAAAATATTTATGAGAGGTGATGCCATTAATTCCACTCTAAATGGAACCGTCGCGTTCCTGAAAATTAATGAAATCAAAATATTAGAATTCTGGGGCTTTCAAATATTAGTATTTATAAAATTCGACGTTTTGAATGAGAGATCATTCCCGCTCCAAATTTAATTAATAATTATTAAATGAAGATAGCAAATTAATTTATTAAAATGGACAGTTACTTAATAATCGTTATAGAATAATATAAAAAAACTAAAAATTATAAAAGTATAAAAACTAAAACTATTAAGTAAAAATTATAAAACATTTTTCTTTCTTAATTTTACCTTTTCGATCTCACTATTTATACTAACTTTAATCACTAAAATTTACATAATATCAACAATAATTTCATATAATTTTCATTTAATATAATTGCAATTTAAACCTTTTAATTAGCCTTTATTTGATATGCAAATTGTTTTTAATTATACAATAACTTTTCTTCCCTTTCGATACACGTCTTTGACCGTATTGTCTCTTATTGTAATGATAATGGTAATGTAAATTTTCTGCATAGCCTAAATATAAAGATAGAATCGTAACCCTATAGAATGCATTTGCTCTGCATAATTGTGGTAAAAAATTATGAAATAACTTGCATATAACCATATAAGCTATTTATTGTATCTAATATTGGAAACGCTTTTAATCCCTTTAAAGTTCAATATAACAACATATCCAAATGTAAAAAATGACGAAATAATTTAAAGTTGTAATACAGAATATTGAAGTTATAAAAATAAATATCTTGTTGATCCATTTGTATTTATTCAAATGAATCTTAATCTTGAAAAATTGTGAATGCCTACAAAATCGATAAGATATACGACCGAGGCGTATTTTAATTTTTTTTAAATATACCCAGCCGGGCCTGTATTTTTTTTAAAAAAAATACCTTAACCCCGTATATAAAACCAAATATTTTAAATCGTTATTAGCTATAAAAATTAAAAATAAAAAAAATATATTTTAAAAATTCCGGGCCGAGCCTGTAAATTATTTTTTAAAAGGATCTGAAAATATAAAAGTTGAAAAAACCCTGGTCGGGCCATGCAAATGTTACTTTTGCATATCTCTGAGTTATATATATTCATCGAAAAGAAAAATTTTATTCTTTGTGAAGAAGATTAAATTTTTATATTCCCATTCTATGGCTCATCCGAAGGATTGATTTCTCATGAATATAAGCATATGAGGCAGAGCCCTCCACAAACTTGTCTGACAGTCCGCTTGAAGCTGGACTGGACCTATTTTTTAAATTTTATAATAGCTAAACCCAACCCTAACCTATTTTTCCTGAACCTGGTTCACGATTTTGAACCGAACCTGGCCAAAAACTTGTCAAAGCATTTATACTTTATACCACTTTTTATCCAGTTCAAAACAAAATTGTCTATAACTTTTCACTTTCCCTCATGGATTAAAGAAAGTTTTCCTTATAAACTTGAAACAACTTTTAAAAATTTCGTATACTTTTCTAAGTCTTTTTTCAATTTCAAAATTGGCACTATCGGTTTTAAACTATTTTCAAAAAGTTTGTAATACTAGCCTACTACCCTTAACTTTATTTTTAAATGTTTATATTTTAAAAGTGCTCTTAGCTGCAACTTAAGCTATTTATCATATTTTTCTTACGAACCAAAAAATTTAATCTCAAATTTATACAGATGATATAAATTATTACAAAGTGTTGTTAATTTTAAGCCGATTTTTAAAAACGAATAACTCAATAGAAAAATATTACGCAAGCCTAAAGATTTTGTTCATAGAAGGAACAAAGGCCAAGACATATATTATCAAAATTTCGTGACTTAGGCAATTTTTTTTGGCTAAAATATTGAGTTAGCCATTTTTAAAAATCGGCTCAAAAAGAGCCGTTTGACATTACAAGATATATATCATTTTGAATTTATTTTTAAAATATAAAACTTGTTTGGTAAGCTATAAATACAGCATTGTCGCCGGGGCGATGCATAATAAAATTATCCAGCTATGCTATAGTTCTTGAGCGATATCGCGGTATTCCACACTTACTAGTTTTGTTAAAAAGCCCTATTCGAGTCGATTTAAAAAAACGGCCTGATTAGGATTATAACCAAAATAACATTATGTAAGCCTAAAGATTTTACTCATAGCTGGCAGAAAATCTCGGACATCTATTTGCCAAATCTATTAATCTTATTCGGGCCGTTTTGAAAAATAGACGGCATTTAATATAAACGAGGTCTAAAGCTACAATATTTTTCAATGTTATATTCGTTTGCTAATAAAACAGGTTGAAGGATTTTTTGTCTCATGCTTTTTGGCTTGTTAAGCACCCTACATGGATTATGATCTTAACTTGTTTAAAACTATTAATAAAAAAATATTAGTATTTCGTTAAATTCCTTCTCTATATCTATTTTTATTCGGATAAACAATTTAAAAACAATATTAACAATGGCAACACTTTTCTTAAGATGGACAGATCATTATATCCACTATTGATCCTTTAAGTAATTTCTGCCCGGAATAAAAATATCTTTTGAGTATGGTTTTGCCATTAAATGGAACAAACAACTATTTTATCAGCATATATTTAATAATATACTGATATAATTTTTATTTTAAAACTTATACATTTTAGCCATACTTTATCAACCTCTTCTGAGCTACTAACGATACAGAATACCCATGACAATACAATAAACAGTAATATTAGTAATGGTACGAATGATTCTATAAACTCGAATAATTACAATGGCCACAATTCTTTATCGCTATCTAATAATGAAAACAGTCCTATTAGTTATAGAAGTGTTGGTAGTGGTCTAACAGCTTCTTCTCCCCTCTCCTTACTTTTAGCTAATGAAGAATCTACAAATAACATTGATCAACAAATTCCTAATCAGAATATCAAGCATCAAAATATGTATTCCCCCATAATGATAAATAATAAACAAAATATGAGAGATGTTATTAAGAATAGTAACATTTTACCACGCAATTGTGATAACGAAATCTTAAAACGCGATAAAGAGAACAGTGAAACGATTAACAATCTATCTTATAAAAATAACGAATCCGAAAGTAGTATATCAATAAATAACGATAACAATAATACTAACGGGTTTAACGGAGGACCACCACCCATAATTACGAATTCTTTTATTTCGCCTGTTTTGGCGGCTGTCGCCGCTGGAATGATTCCTCAAGGTGTTGATACGCAAGTGGATTATTCATCACAAGTACATCGAATTAATATTTATTACATATTTCAACCCTATTCATTAACCTTATTCTCTTAGTATCTTTTACAACAACATCAAAGAGCACAGCAACAACAATTATGGCTAGCCCAGCATCAATACGCAACGGCCGCAGCTATAGCTTCACAGCAACAATCCCATCAAATTAATTGTATATTTATTATACATTTTAATTTTTTTTTGTTTTAGTGAGATATTTATTCTATCATGCATTAAATTGCAACTATTTTAATTCTTGGTGCATATTAATCATAAAATTTTGCCGGTTAAGATTCCTATATATTCCAAAAAAAACGAATTAAACTATGGAATAATATCCTCTATTAAAATAAAATTGTTGTTTTATTTTATATATGAAAATATATGATATACATTTCTTTAAACTCTATTCCATATATTATGAATAATAAAGTTTCGTGATCTAAGTTTAATTTTAGATATTTAAAATATTTTTTATTATCATTAGGTTGTGGCATAAATATAAAAAATACTATTAATAAACTTTCATAACTATAACGAAAAAGAGAAATAAATTGTTTTTATTGTAAAAATAAAATGTGGTCTAAATCATTTTTTCGAATTTACGAAAGGTGATTAATTTTTAAAGTTAGAGAAATTAATAAATTTCAGCTTAAAGTTTTTAAGGTTGTAAATTTTGCCAGAAAAAAGTAAGCAATGTTAATTTATATTTTTCAAATTATAAACAGAAATGGGCAATTATATTAATCAAAATGGGATATTTAAATTAAATTGAAATCTAATAATAATTTTATATAATTTACAAAAAAATAACAAATTTTGGCCATATCTCATGATTTTATATAGTTACGAAAGTATATAAATTTTGAGGTTTTTTAAAACATAAATAAATCATAGCCTTAAATAAGTTTTTTAAGAAGTAAATTTTTTTAAATGGGGATCATTCTATGTCAAATTTAACACCGTTAATTAAAATTATTTTTATCAATTAAGTTTAAATTTCATATTTATGACATAATAGGAAAAATGTTTTAAAAATAATATATTATTACAATTCATAGTTCTACCAAAGATAATAATTAAAATTCGACAAAAATTTTGCGTAATTTTCCTTTTTTATTAATTTATTAATATTTTATAGTATTTTTAAACGGCTCGATTTAAGCCGATTTTAAAATAGCTATCAATGTTTTAGCCAAAAAATATTGCCTAGGTCTCGAGATTTCCAATAGATGTTCCAAATTTTTGTGCCATCTATGAACAAAATCTTCAGGCTGGCATACATTTTCTGTATAAAATATTATTAGCCGTTTTTAAAAATCGGCAATGGAGCCCTTTAATAACACTAATACCTTACTTATTCTATCTTTAAAGGAGATGTAAAAAATATTAAATTTATGGCTGTTATAAAAAATTTGAGAAAGGGAAAATTAGTTAAATTAGCATAAAAATAAAATAAAAAAATATATTTATAAAAATATTTTGCTTTATAAAATCGGTATTGGTTATTTTAAGGCCCCGAATATTAAAATTTAATATCCGCGCCGGTCCTATGCCGATGTATAATATAGGTGCAGTCCTTTATTATTATTATATATTTTACAAAAAAGTAATCCATTAATTCCCCTTTTTTATAACATAGATGCACCCCATCCCACATTTTTAACCAAAACCGATACAAAAAAAATAATGTAGGATATTTATTATAATTCTATTATCATTTTTAACTTATTTATTTATATTTATAGTTAATTTATTTTAAAAATAGGGGGAAAAAATTAGCAGACATTTATTTATAAATTAATAACTTATGGGCTAAAAATTGTATTTCCAAGTATCGGCTAATCTGATGTTAATTATCGGTATCCTACTTTAATGATAATGTATCCGGTTTTTAATATCCTGTCGAATCTTAGTATTTTCTGAAATCAAGATAAATTTGCAAAATTTTAATATGCTCATTCTTTTTAGCATCTAATTTCATCGCTCTATAAAATTTAGGAAATTACTATTAAGCATAAAAAATATTCAATTTAGATTATAGATAAGGAATTCATGATTTAATATAATATTTATGAAAAATATTTGTCATTATAATGCAAAAATAATAATAAATCCACATTTTCTGGATTCAAACAAGTTCTTCTTTGTTATAAAAGCTTTTATGCAATGCTAATTTCTCATTCAGAAGAAGCACTAGTTGCTAGAATTGCCAATATTTTTCTAGCTAATCTTGATAGCTTTGATAAATTTTTCTTGTTTCCACCAAAGTAGAATATCCGCACTTAAATGAGATAATTAAATAAAAAGTGAAACCACTAATAATAAAAAAAAAGCAATTTAAATTAATTGTTTATAAATCGTAAACTAAACTAAGTAGCCTAAAATCTTCCTAAATTATACAAATCAAACTCGTTACTTTGAGATTTAGATATTTTATGCCATTAAGTAAGGTGTTCTCCTCTGTAACAACCTCATTCCCCCATCTATTGTAGTTTTATTTTGATACGCTATTTCAAACATCATTTATAATTTAACCTTTAATTGAAAATTTTTAAACTCGCCCGCCCATTATTTAAATTTTTACCCTCCCGTTCTTTAAAAAATTTGCTGGCGAGAGTTTAAAACCCGCTTGTTGCAAACCTCTAGCCCGAGTTACATTCATATCTATGAAATTAAATTATAATTTTTGTTAATAAAAAATTATTGTAAAAAACATTTTTCTTAAAACATAAAAATCTGATATTATTGTCAGTTAGTGATATCAGTTTTTCATGGAATAATACAGTTAATCGCGCGATATCCTTAATATGACCAAAAAAATCTTTATTTCATTAATACTGATCAAATATAATTACTAAATCATTAAAAAATAATTAATTATCATATCAATAATAAATTTTAAACAACACATTTCAATTATATATTATCCAACGCAATGAATACTGCCCATTTTTATTGAAAAACTTAACGAATAATATGTCAGTTTTTTTACATCAAAGTTATTTCTAAATTATTTGTGGGGTAGGACGTTTTATAGTTTCAACCCAAATAATTAATAAGTTCGATGACCAAAATAAAACTAGTTTGGAATATATTTTTTTTACAAAATATAGTGTTGAATCATTGAGCCGATTTTTAAAAATGGCTAACTCAATATTTTATCCAGGAAAAATATTATGCAAGCCTAAAGATTTTGCTCTGGACATCTATTAACAAAATCTCGAGGCTTAGACAATATTTTTCTGGCTAAAATATTTAGTTAGCGGTTTTTAAAAATCTGCTCAAATCGAGCCATTTAACAACACTAACAAAATATAGTATGATTGATTTATATTCATATTATGATTAACAGATGTAAAATTATATGTATTATAGCTGGATTAATAACTCACCAACAAGTATTTGGATTTCAACCATGGAATTTTTACTCTCCTGCCTTTCTACAGAATTATTTTCAACAACAATTTTCTTCCCAAAATAATGGCAATCAGCAACAACAACCTTTCCCTAACAACATAGCTGGAAATAACAATTCAAATGCAAATAATCAACAATATCCTCATATGCAGCAATTGATATATAATGCTCTATCCTCAAATCCTTGTTTATATATACAGAATTCTAATGACAAATATACCAGTCCTAATAATCAATATAACATTATTTCTAATAACTGTAATAATAATTCTAACAATGTTAACTTTGATAATAATACATCATCAATGCCTTTACCCTTATTAAATCCTAATTTAGATACGAAAGTCTCATCAGAGTCTCTTAACACTTCCTTAAATCAGTTATCAGCTTTTCAACAAGCAGCTGCTCTAATGGGGGCAGGTGAATTTATCATATTTGATATATCATTTTTTGCCATTTAAACTTAAGGTTTTGAATAAGAATCATAAACTAATTAAGTGTAATGATCTTTTATTACTTTTTTCTGTCCTGAAATATATGTCTTATCTTGATATTTCTTTCTTATTAGGAGAAAATATTTCAAACCTATTTGCAGCGCAATATCAAATGATTTCACCATCATACACAAGCAATCAGATCCAAATTCCGACCTCAAATCAGCCTTGTTTCAATACCACCTTGGCACGTAATTTAATTTTGAAAATATTTTTACAATGCATGAGACGGTATCACAACATTTCGGCGCGCGACATTTTGGTACAGCAAATTTTCGACACATTTTATTCAAAGTATTTTTTTTTAAAATTGAAAACCCTAAATTTTATTTTTTTCTTAAATAAAAACTTTATTTTAAAAAAATTGAAATGATTAATTTTAATTTTTTTGGATACATAATGGGCTAAGCCTGATGATGATGTTGGCTAGGATTAGATATATTTTACCAAAACTAGGTGATGGGTCATTTAATTTTACCCATATCAAATTAGGTCTGGGATATGGCCTACATGGACTCAAGGCAGTATATATGAGATGGCTAAGGTTAGAATTATATTCATTAATAAATATTAAAAATTTTAGTTTAACATAAATTCTCAGGTGCACCTTATAAACCTGGAATATGGAATGGTTAAATATTTTTTTTTTAATTTTGACTTCAACGCCAACAAAATGTCGTTCCTCACCACTGATTTTTTATTTTGTACTGCATTTATTTATATATATCAAAATTTTAATTTTTTAGTGGTTATGTGCCGAATTTTCGCTGCATCGAATTTTGCGTACAGAATTGTTCGCGCCGATATGTGTAACCGCATAAAACAATTATGACTAGTAACTTACATAATTTACTTATAAAAATAAACGAAAGAAAATGATGTCACTGAGAATGAAGATTTACGCCAAAATCACGGAACCTCAGATGAAAAAGTTGAGGAAAACGATAGCAACGCTTGTGATTCACTGGGCAATAATACTTCCAGCGCTGCAGCAGCGGCTGCTGCTTACGCTTACCATCAATTTATGAGCAACTCTGGCACTAACGATGCCAATCAAATCATTAACATGGCAGCCATGGCTGCTGCTTATTTCCAACAACATCATAACAACAATATGACGGCACAACAACAGCAGTTGATGATGATGCAATTGGCAGCCGCGGCTCAATTACATCAACAATCTTCTCTCTCCTCGGCCAACTCCATAAACAAACAGCAGCAGCTTAACATGATAGGAGGCATGATGAACATGCTTAACTTGGGATCTTCACCCATACCCCCTCATCCTAGTCTGTCCAATGCCAATAATAACTCTAATGCAGTCATCACTAACAATCAACCACAACCGAATTTTTATCCTGGAAATAATCATTTTAACTCCACTTACTTTAATGACAATGTTCATCAGACCGGTTTAAATTCTAATATCCTTTTAAACTACCCCTTTAATAACAGTAAATCTTAATATTCAAATTTGATATTTTGAAATTTTATTCTTGCTATAATTTATGATCTTCCTAATCATTATTTTTTCTCTTTAATCATTACATATACTAGATTCTTTGAACAAGGGAGGACGATTTATTCCGAATAATTTAGACCCTGATAATAAATTTAAAGCTCTTAATAACAAAACAAATTCTGGGAATATGCCATTATGGGTTCGCCAATCTAAAAGGTTAATTTAAATTATTTTTACTTGTAAGTTTTTGTAAATATTAGTGAGACACATTCGCGAGAGAATTTAATAAATCCTAGGAGCAAGTTGTTGGAAGATTTTAGGAATAATCGTTTCGCTAATTTACAATTAAAGGATCTTGCGAGTCATATTGTTGAATTTTCCCAAGACCAACACGGTTCCAGGTTTGCTCTAATAATTTTATATTTAAAGGAAATAATAAAAATCTACTAATTATACAAAAACTTATCTTTAATTAAGATTTATCCAGCAAAAATTAGAAAGAGCTATTGCTGCTGAATCTATGATGGTTTTTAATGAAATTCTTGGTCAGGCTTATAACCTTATGACCGATGTGTTTGGCAACTACGTGATTCAAAAATTTTTTGAGTTTGGCACGATTGATCAAAAACATTCATTGGCACAAAAGATAAAAGGTAGGGTTTTCATGATTAAATCGAAGAACACTTTAATAAATTTTACATTTATGTTTTAATTGCTATATTTAATTACTAAAAATGGTTTTTTATTTTTTTAAATAAACTACACACTAAAATTTATTTTAATAATATTATGATTTAGGGATATATAGAGAATCTATAATCATTTCCATTTGCTTTTATTATTGAATATTCTGATACTAATAAGATTAACAGTTTATATAAAAATATAAGTTAAATTAAAATCAAACTTTATTTAAAGTAAATTAACATAAATGTGCTTATATAGGATAAATGAATTTTTAGTGAAATTAAAAATTTCAAGTAAAATATATTAATTTAATAAATTTTTCCAAGGCATACACTATAAAGTTATATATTTTCTTAAATTTGATTTAAAAATTATGATTTTTGTCAACCCTAATTAAGGTCACGTTTTACCATTGGCTCTTCAGATGTATGGTTGCAGAGTTATTCAAAAAGCTCTAGAGTCGATACCCCCCGAAGATCAGGTAAATCATCATTCTACAAGAATTAACCATTCTTTTTAACTATTTACCTATAAAATAAAATTTTTAACAATTATTTTTTTATTCATTAAAAGTAAACTTGAAATAATTATATTGAAATTTATAATTTCGGGCTAAATGAGTCCTTTTCCAAATTTTTTATAAAATAATAAAATAAATAATCATATTTATTTAATTAAGAATGAAATTGTGGCAGAATTGAATGGTCATGTTCTTAAATGCGTTAAGGATCAAAACGGAAATCATGTTGTCCAAAAATGTATCGAATGCATCAATCCTATTTCACTGCAGTTTATTATTGACTCTTTTAGAGGACAGGTTTAAATTCATACGTTACTTAAATGGTATACGAAATTGAAAAATCGTGTCTTTATGCAGTGGCGTAGCCAGGATTTATTAAGGGGGAGGGCGCTTTTTAAAAATATGATTCGTTTTATAGATTTTCCCGACCTTATTTTTATTTTGCCTTTTAAAATATGTAATATTTTTATATAATCTCTTTTAAAGTTGGCTGAAAAATAAAAGCACCAATTCTAAAATCTATGCCAATATTTTATGATTTATGTACCTATGAGTGCTTCACTAGGGTTGCCACTTGGCAATATAAAAGGAAAAAATTATTAGTAATAACAAAATTTTGCCAACCTTATGATTAAAAACGACCGAAAGCATTTATTCTGAAAATTATATCAATGTTCAGTACTTAATTCCATTGATGTGAACTCTTCTACAAAAAAAAAGTACTCGGGTTCAGAGATAAAAAAGTGTTCGGGGTTTGGAGGACATAAAGAAATTATAACTTAATATTAATAAAATAACACAATTTGTTTCTCATTTATTTATTCTACTCCATATATTTCATAAACATAATTTACTGGCAAGAAGTTATATTTTAATTTTAAATGTATTTTTCAAACAATCGTAACATAACATCTTCCAAAATATTCTCTTTAAGATTTTCGTACAAATCTGACAATATTATTTTAAATGATAATAGATAAAACAAATGTGTTAACATAGCTATTTTACCTTTTATACATTCGAATCTGGAATAACTATTTGTACATTTCTTACATCTTTGATTACTAACCGCCAATGTCAATGACCAAAATCTATGATTGGGTGAAACTATTCAATTTCCTTCTATCTTTTAGCTTTCGTTTAATTTGGTGTTTAGAGAGCAACCATGAATTCACTACACTGTAATCTAATAAATGGAAGATAAACACATATAAAAACGTTTTCACTTAATATATAAATTCTGTAGAGTTCAATCAACACATCCCGGAGATCCACCTTGCCCATTATAAATGATGATATGTTAATATTTCATAAAATTTATATTATGGGAAAACATGAGAAAAGTGCTGTAAACATTTCTAAAAAAATCGAACCCGTTCGCGTTCATGAAGCGTTCAAAATTTTATGATGAATTTTTTTAAAATTTAATTTAATATCAATAAATGTATTATATTTTGTAACACAAAGCCATATTAAAAAATAATAGTTTTATTTTGATAATATAATTATAAATACAATATAATATAGCGAATAACGATATTTTTATTTATAAAAAATTTTTCTTATTAATTTTTAATAACAATTGTGTTTCAAAATTTTAATCTGATAGGCAAGAACGCTTGGCTAATACAGAATTAGCTATACTAAAAACGCGCTCTACAGGGATAGATGAGGGGATTGCAGTATTTTACTTAAATAAACAATTCTTTTAAAGAGGAATTTATTAAAAACATTTAATGTTTTGTCCTTTGCTTCAAAAAATTGTGATAAGTAATCATCCTCCAATCTGTCCTCCACTTCTTCGTCAAAAAAGAAGGATATCTAGGAATTAGCACTTCTTTCATTATTATTTTTAGGATTTTCAATGCCTTTTTTCAATAACGCTATAAGTCTATTCTCTATCTGTTCGTTCTGCGGGAGTTTTATCCAGGGCCATTGAAGCTTGAATATTGGATGTATAATTGATGATAAAACATTTTGATCTTCAAATATATGTTCAAATTTTTAAAAAAATATATAATGTAATTAATCTGAATAGGGTTAATACCTTTTATTAATCCCATTTAATATTGCGTATATCAATGGCTGACCATATTTTAGGCCACTAATTTTTTTTAACTTTAAAATAACTATCGTTATAGTTCGCGTCAAATGGCCCAAATGCATTTTTTCCTCACTTTCTAAAATATTGAGCGCAGTTGCAATAGGTTCCATGATCTTTTTTAAAATTTATTATAATATTTATTCTAAAAAAATTTATTAGGACTTCGGTGCAGTAATCTTCCAAAAATATTTTATCTAATCCTCCCATGTCACATATTTTGTCAAACAAATTAGAATTTTCATTTACTAATGAGTCTATAAATTTCAAAGAATTATAATATGAATTCCATCTTGTAACAACAGGCCTTATAAGCAACCTTGATAAATTATTCTTTAAATCAGCAGCAAATGATGTTGATTGATTTTGTTTATTCCCTAAATTTTTGCACTTATCAAATTCACTTTTTAATATGTTTTTAAAAGATATATTTTCTAATGCTTTTTCATCGTGATGTTTGGGCAGATAAATAAAGTTTTCCTCTCTATTTTGATTTTCAAATATCTCATTTAATGATAATGATAAAATTCATCTTCCTCATCTTCAGATATTTTTTCAACTATTTATTTATACCTAAAGACTTTTAAGAAATATCTTGCATTATCGGTGACACATAATCTTACCTTATTATGTATTTTAAATTTCTTGAGAAGGTTTGAAATTGTTTCTGCTAAATAATCAAATGTATGTTTGCTAGTTAGTCGTTGGCAAGCCAAACATACCGATTTTTTTTCTAAAGTGACTCCATCCAATCAGTGGACAGTCATTCCTATAAATGAACTAATAATATATTTTAACAAATTGATAAATTAAAAGTATTCTGTAAAAAAATACCGATGGTATGATGACCATGAATCTGCTGTGAAACAAAGAATTGTTTGTTTGGTTAAGCAAGTTTTTATTTTATCTATCATGATGTTATAATCTTTAGATATTTTTGCTACAATGTTTCAGCGTGAGTGACATAACTTTTTTATTTGGTTGTAAAGTGTTTATCATTTTTAAAAAGGCAGGTTTTTCAACTATATTAAAAAATGGCTCTAGTTCTTCTATCACGAAATTGAGAATTGCATCATCTACTTGTGACTGAATCACTTTTGATGCATTTTTTTTTTAAATTTAAAAGGAAGGGTCTGTTATTTAAATTTCTCAACTTTTAATTTTTTATCACGAAATTGAGAATTGCATCATCTACTTGTGACTGAATCACTTTTGATACATTTTTTTTTTAAAATTTAAAAGGGTCTGTTATTTAAATTTCTCAACTTTTAATTTTTTATTATTTTTATCACTATAATTTGTTAAATATTCATTAATTTCTTGCAGCATAATATAATGAGAACTCTGTAAAAATAAAGGAATTTTTTGATAAATTATGCTACAGATATATATTATCAAATTGGTAATAGCAAAGTAATGACTTATAAAATATATATCTAAAATCAGAGTTGGGCGGTACCACGAAAACTTTTTCTAAGGTACAAGATCCTTTTGTATCTTGTACTCAGTATCTTTTTGACATTTTTAATAAGATACTAATATCTGTATCTAATATCCTTTATTTTGAAAGAAATCTTTTTCATTTTCTTGACAAAAGATACATATTCTTTTTAATATTCATGTTTAAAATTTTACATATCACAGTATATATATCTTATTTTTTTACAGGAAATTTGTATTAATATCAGTCTCCCTTCCCTATCTATGCTAAGAATGAACTAATACTAATATTAAAATGCCTGATTATTATAATTAACTAATTAAATATTTTATTAATTATTATAAATATTCATTCTTCTTATTATTCAATTTTAATATTTATATTATAAAATTTGTAGATTCTTTTAATTCAATAATCATTATATTTTATTTTAAATAAATAAAAATATAAAATCCTTCATAAAAATAATAATAATTAGAATTCAAAAAATTAAAAATAAATTTTATTGTATAAAATATAAAATCCTTCATAAAAATAATAATAATTAGAATTCAAAAAATTAAAAATAAATTCTATTGTATATGTATATATATAATTTAATAATTTTTACTTATAATAATTAATAAAATAGATTATTAACTGGCTACTTAGTTATACTTATATTATATAAAATAATTAATATTACTCAAATGTCGTTTCAAATTTGAACTTGATGATTTGGCACATTTTGCATTTGGTGAGTATTGAATTAGTTCCTTCAATATAGGAACTAACAATAAAATATTTTTCATATTTGGGCCATGGTAATTTTAATTCATCTGATATTGAATTCATAATCTGATGATGATGAAATTATATAATATCCATGCTTACGCTAACCTATTAAATTATTAAAATATAAGTAATATATTAAAATTAATAAACTTAATGGTTCTTAAAAACTTAAAATATGAAAAATGAAAAAGTAAAAACAGCTGATTAAAAAAATAGACTTTTTTTCATAAAAAATTAATTTTTAAAATAAATAAAAATAAAAATATAGTGTTTTTAAAATTGAACGAACGTTAAATTCGAACCCATTCGTCAAAAAAAAGGAACGCGTTCACGTTCAAAATAGAGGTGAGCGCGGGCCTAATTTTTTATTCACCGCCCGCTCACGGTGGCAATAAAAAATATTCACGCTTATCACTAAAAAAATTTTGACCCGACTCTCCCGCTCACGAAAGGCACTATTTTGATGCACGCCCGAAAATTCACGGTGTTTTTAACTTTTTCAAAATTTTAATGCTATATTTTTTACAATTTTTTGAATTTATTCTAATTTCTTTAATTCCATAATAACAAAAAATAAATACATATTATAAATCCAAATTTTTACTTAGAAAAAGAAGAATGTCTAATTTTTTTATTTCAATTGTGTACGCCTTTTCTCTAATAGGCGATTGGCTACAGAAAATGACCTTTCACTAGAAATGGAATTTGCCAGGGCTGACAAAATTTTACCTTCTAATTTTCTCAAAAAAGGAAATAAATTTTCCTGCTTCCAAAACTTCAAAATATTGCCATTGTTATTTGTTTTATGGGATGAATCTTTTAAATTCACAAGCTTTCATCGGTAGATGTTGACGCTTCATCAGAATCATCTAAAAATATGTTTCATTTAGAATATATGGTTTTTTTATGAATGAAGGATATTAGGAAAGTTATAAATGACAATTGGCATTGACTTATGCATATCTAATTTTATATCATTTC